GGGGGGGGGGGGCAGTCCAAAACAAATGTGTAGGAGCAGGAGATGTAGGTGTGAAGATGATACAACATTCACAGCTTATGTGATGTGTTAATCTCACTGTGAGGAGTATGAATGATTGAATAAATACATGAATGAAGACGACCAGACAACACTTGAAGGTACATGATAGTGAAGAGACACAGAGAGAGACAGAGAGAGAGAGAGAGAGAGAGAGATAACACTGAGCATAAGGGCACAAACTGGCTGGGGAATCATATTATTACCAACCAGGAGCACGAGGTGTGTTCATGGTTTGGAGTAAACCCTGTGAACACAACAGGGAGGGGGAAACTCGGAGGCTCCAGGTTTTTTTATTGCTTATTTTATAACCCTGAAATCACATTAATATCATTATCTTACATGTTTATAACTGAGCATTAACAGTACATTCAGCACCAGATCAAATCAGTAAAATAATAAACCAACAAGGATGTTTTCTTTACTGCAAAAACCACCATTCATGACATCAAATCTCAACATATTTAACTTGTGCGATGGAAGTGATTCAGGTGAGTCTGTTTGCATTTTCTGTACTGTAAAGAGACACTGATTTCTCAAAGGGACACACTATAAATCACACTGAGAGAAGCTAAATGTGAGCTATACTGACCCCGTCAGGACTAAAAGTGCATCACAGTGGGAGCCAGGCGGCCTGGATCTGAACCCTGAGAGTCACAGGACCATGGGAAATACTCAAAAGTAAGCTTGTGACCGCCCGTGACCTCGCACTCATCCACACCTGGTCGATCAGTTCAGACACGTGACGAAAACAACGTCAGTTTCCAGTAGAAGTAGAAATAGGCAGTGAGAACTGAAAACTAAATCTGAATTCATACCCTGAATTTAAGATTTATTGTAAACTAAATACAGTGTAAGTGTAAGTGTAAACCTACAAGATATAGATCCCCCCCTTTGTGAGATATTTTTAATATAAAAAGTTTAGTCTGACAACTACTCTACTGTAGGTGTGAGTTTATTATATAACATATAGAAAAAGTGTCTTATTAGAGCAGCGTAAAGTATGAATGGATTCATATCAGAACAGATTCTTTAGCCGATTGCACCAGCTAATAAATTCAAACATAGCCTGGTTATAATTAGTCCCAGTTTGTGCCTCTCATGTATTAACATTACATTCAAGTCACAGAGCTATGAGTCAGATTTTCCTGTCCTTAAGGTATTTCCAGAAACTTCAAAGTGTCTTCTAACAGTTTGGATGAAATAATATTCCGTCTGTTGCACGATGAAAAAGATTTTCAACTTGTTTCTCAAGTTGCGTCGCTTTTTTTACTAACCCTAAAAAAGAGAAGAAATTATATATCGTCTTGCTCAATTTGTACAACATGAACCAAAATTAATGTTGTTTGTAGTATTGATTACAAAAAACAGCAAAGACAACATTTCTTGGCTACTTGGAAAACAACTTCAGAAACCGATAAAAATCGTGTGTTTAAAGATTTGAAGATTCTGGAAATATCTTCAGAAATGTGTTTAGTTTTGTTTAACATCCTTCTGTTTGTACTTTTTGGAAATGACTCGAATGTAATGCTAATACTTCTATGTATACTGTCAATGGCTCATACATGAGAGGCACACACTCGGGTTAAGTTTACACCCTAACCGCCAGGTGACAATATTAACGTTAACTTGCTAATATAAGCCATTTAGATGAGAAGTAAAAGATTTAATGAGCTTTGATCCGACACGTGATGCTAAATGTTGTAACACATTAATTATCTGAACTAAAGATTTAACTTTACTAACATGGCTGTAAACGTGTTATGTTAGAAGTTATATTACTGCTTTACGGTGCTACAGTGACTTTAGACTATTGATTGCGATTGTACAGTGTTACAAATGTTTGCTAGAAACTGATTCACACATTATTAAAGTCCTTTCTAGTCAAGTTTTAAGGGCGCAACCCAATTCAATAAACCGGTTTGAAATTATTTAATAGCTACTGAGAACGGGATTCATGGACAGCTGGTGCAATCTTGGATTAAATCATATAATAATACAGTTATTGCAATGTAGTACATCAGAGGTAATGGCACTGTTTCACCTCACCCATCTGTATGAAACTATTAATGATGAACACTCGGGTGTAAATAGAACAAAATGTCCCTCATGCACACAACTTGACAGAGACTCATCTGTTGTATAAGAGTACAAAATGTCATTTTTTTCAGTACACAAAAAGTGAATCTAACAGTTGTTTGTTTTTTGCTGGTTTATGCCTGAAGAGGAGGATGCACAATGATGGGAGTTTTCAAGTAGTGTTTGTATTTTCTTTCACAGAGGCTCACAGATGTGTGTGTCAGAATGACGGCTGCTCCTGGTCCTCATCGCTCCAGCTGTCGGTCCCGTCTGTCCCAAAGTACCGGTCTCCGAAGTCCCCTAAAACACACAACAGTGGAGCTGCTGTCTATCAGTGCGTTAGGGGCTGAAGAAAATAATGAAACAGCACAGGATGAATACAAAGCAAAACAAAATGGCTGCAAAGGTTAGAAGATTTGGAATTAAGAGCTACTGTATTCACATACATTAAAAATTAATCTTAATGTTTTCAAGGAATGTTTAATTACGTAATTCTAAGTAATTATTTATGTTGACCGACCACATACGTGTCTATCTGTGTAGTTTAGTTACAGTGGTGATCAGGAGCAGTGCTGGCTTCAAATCTGAAGCGACACAAGCATTAAATTAGAATCTGCTGGGACATGAAATGAAATCTGTCAACTTGAAACAGAAATGTTTATTATGCTTTATCTTCTGCAAAGACGGCGGACATTTTTATTTCCTGCATAAAACTTAAATACTGCACACAAAGCCACAAACACTGAAGGCGGGGTCGTACGCTGGAAACATCGCGTGGAATTCTGTCAATTGTAGTTTTTGTCCGCCATCTGTTATTCAACCTTTTCTCCTAAAGTTGAGAAACTGAGAATGTCCAAATAAGTTCCACTTGGGATATAATGTTTGACACAGTCCGGTTACGGATATAAAGAGTACGTGCATGTGATGGCTTACCGATACCAGGAATTACATGTAAAAGATCGTCCAGACTCTTGTCAACAGCGGTGGTGATGATTTTGACCTTTGGGAAGGCGTAGGCCACAGAGTGCACCCCGAGCTCTGCCATCAACAGCGACACCAATGCGATCTTATCCTCCTGCACCTCGTGATCCTGCTCAGCAACACATATCACAGCAGCAACTGTCAATGCCTGCCAGCTCATCACCAGAGGGGTAATTAGCAAGTGGAGAGCAAAGTGAGCAAAATATTTGACAATTCTCTTTGCAGAAATAACACTAATCTAACCTCACCAGGACGAGTGAAAAAAAACACACAGATGAGCAATAAAACACATGTGACTGATGAAGAGGAGACGGGGCCCATTGTTGTCTTTATGAAGAATAATGATGTTAATCTGCACCCACCAATAAGACTCGTACTGCCATCATGGCAGCGGCGCCAGTGGAGACTGTGCTGTCCATTAGGATGACATGATCTTCACTGATGTCTTTAGGCAGACGCAGGTAATGCAGCTGGCGAGGCCAGAGAGGAGGAGACAGGTTACCATGGTTACAAAAGCAGGAAGGGTTAGTTACCACGGAGACACACATCATGTGGAAGAAAAGAGAAAAAAAAGAAACAATCAAAACATTTTTATCTTCTGTTTAATGTGAATTTTGAGACAATATCCAACATCGTAGCACACGTGAGCATCTGGATGATATCGATGGGGGGAACATTTGATACAAAATAACACATTTTATTTTACCTCTGGTTCGCCTGAGTCGAGGTTGGTCTGGATGAGGATTTTGCCGATGCGGACGTCCTTGCACACGGCTCGCAGGGCGGGCTCCATGGTCTCTCCTGCCCGCAGGACGGACACACCGGTGATCTGTGGAGACGAGTGTGACGACAGAAACCCTGAGGACACACTCGACTGGAAGTTAACAAGACCTTGTAAAACAGGAACATCACTCACCCCTTTCCCGTTGTAACGCCGGCCCTCGTACTCCTGCCCTTGCGGAGTCTGAACTACACACGTCTGTTACAAAATGCAGAAGAAAATACTTTATTTAGAAATATTTTTAATTATTTTAATACACAAACGCTACTCTCACTTGCAAAACTCTGGTTTACTTTGTTATTAATACTGTAATTATACTGTTCTTTAGACCTATTCAGGTTCTTATTATCAGTATTTAGTTATTAACATTGATTCTTTACACTTCTGTTATTTAATGTACAATATATATTTTAAATGTCTTATTTTCTGTATATTGTTATATACTGTAATATAATGTACATATTTTTACACGTTATACTACTATATATATTGTTTTAAAGTTCTTCTTATTCATATTACTATTTCTTATAATGTCTTTGTTTAGCAACTTGAGCAACTGTAACGCAAGTATTTCTGATTCTGATTCACGGATACAGATAATATATACACTCAATATATCTCTGCATATTTTTGCATATTTAGACCTTATCTTTGTCTTGTGAGTCTGAGAGACATTTCTGTAGCATATCTACTATGTATATACTGTGTTACTGCAACAAAATACACCCTGCGTTCACTTTAATACCAATAACTTTACAAAGATACCTTCCAGGAAACCAGTGGTTTTGGTTGATGTCAGTCAACTTGCAGAGATTTGTTCAGTCACCTTTATTATTTGTCAGGTACGCTGTTAAGCTGTTACTGTTTTGACTTTTTTTTTTTGTTTAAATTATGGCAACTGACATTTGAGAAAGCTTTTAGAAACACTTCAGAGAAATAATAAGCAAATACGACTGTTTTCAGCATCACTGCAATGCAACAATAACTGTGACACGACTATAATTATAATTAAAGCTGGAAGCAGCAGGAACGGGCCCTCGCAGTGCGCACGGGTCGGGTCGTGCCAGCACATCAGGAATACATTTCATGGAAATGACATGACTATTGCCATGTAAGGCTTATATCTTTTTTACCAGTAGGTGGCGCTATGAGTACGACTGAATGTTTGCATGTAGATGTATTCAGGGCGGGGCTCTTATCGAACATTTGGTGGACATTGTACAAAGTACTTTGGGGAATGCATCCAAGAGACTTTTTTCAGACATGTCAGTCGTATGTGTCTTGGGGGCTGATTTTTGGGGGCCGTGGCTGAGCCATTTTGTGACTCCCATGTGCGGGACCAATATAATATGTAAATTTTCACCATCTATTAATAGATAGTGACAACTGAAGAGTGACAGGAAAGAGGGGAGAGAGAAAGAGGATGACACACAGCAAAGGGCCACAGGTCGGATTTGAACCTGTGGCCTCTGCAGCAAGGACTCAGCCTTGGTACATGGGGCACATGCTCCACCAGGTGAGCTATCAAATTTTATTTATTTTTCTTAAATGTAGGAAGAAAACCGAAGCTTCTTGGAGAAAACCCACACCAACACAGTGAGAACTACTGCTGTGATCCTTTAAACCTGCAGAAGCCGTTTTGTTGGCCACTTGAGGGCAGCAGAAACAAGCTGTAAACACAACGCTGACATATTTTCACCTTTTAAGTTAATATGATGAACTTATAAGCAAAAGTTGCTTGTTTACGTATCCAGCTGTTACAGAACAAACACTATAATTCATTTTGAGTCGTGTTTCCGACAACCTGATTAATGTAAGTCCAATATCACTCTATATTCACTCTCCCTTTAGCTCTGTTTTTGTCACTCCTGAGGGAAATATGAGTCTCTTCAGCTGCTAAATGCTTTACCAACTAGTTGCTTACTGTGTCTCTCTGTGGTTTGGTGTTGAGCAGGGGGTGTGCAGTGCGTTTATCGAGCTTTTTCACTTCCTTCTGTGTCTGAAAACGACACTGTTAGAGCGGTGAGAGTGAACCAAAACAGTAAAAATACAGCAGGCTGTAAAAGCAAAACAATAAGCTAAAACACACGAGGATTCATACACCTGAGGGGAACAGCAGAGTCGGGGGATGATTCTCTGTGGATTTGTCCACTTTCATATACAAATAGTGATCCATTGTTAATATAAAAGAGTTAAAGTCTACCCACCTGAGATGGTAGGAATGTCAGTGCGTGTTCTATGAGAAGCCGCATTAATCTCTTTGAGTAGAAGATGAACTCATCTCGACTGGTTTCTTTATTCCTGCATTAAAGTAAAAGAACAAAGGTTTTAAAACTAATATTATACACACTGTTGATACAAGGACACAAAGGTGTAGCACGGGTAAGGTACCTGATGATGGTGTGCAGGCCTCTGACCTGCGGCGTACTCTCCAACACACTGAGCGTCTGAGGCAGCGGCTGCGTCTGCTGAGCGGAGGCCAGGAGTGCTCTGAGGGCCGATGAAATATCGTCCAGAAAAGGTTTTTATTGTGTTATTCTGCTACACTAAAGATAAATAAACAGTCTTGTTTTAAGAAGGTAGAGAGTTATAATTTAGTGATTAAATGGAAAATAACAGAGAGAGTATGAAGGTTCAGTCTGTACTCTGTATATATAAAACTGATGCAAAATCTCCCAAAACAATAAGTGGGCCATCAAAATATGTATCAGCATACCTGACACTGAGCTCACGCTGCATAAAGAGAGGAAAGACAATAAAATGGTGAATGAAAATGTAAAATGTAGACAGTGAGAAGACCCAATCCATTCATTGCTGCTGAAGATTTAAAGGACCAGTGTGTAGGATTTAGTGGCAGTAAGTAGTGTAGTTTGTGAAAAGCGAAAAAGGCCCTATCTAGAATCAGTGTTTGGTTTGTTGGTTCTGCAGGTTTGGTGCTGGCAAATGTTCACAGCAGCAGGACGGAGTATCTGACCTGACTCAAAATAAACTACAGTCTGTGTGTTCATGGTAATGAGAAGGAATATGAGCTCACTGATGTGTAGGGTTCTGATAGCTGGTTTCATTCTGAATTCAGTTCTGAGAAGATTGTTTAACCTGTAGCAGTGCAACAACTAGTTCACCGTCAGGTAACGTTAAAAGCATCATGTGCACAGAACAATCTGTGGTTTATTTAGCTGATATCTGCTGAATGATTAAGTTATTAATATGATTTCCACTGTGTTGTTTTTAGCTTTTTCGGCCCCTGCAGCTGTAGCAGTGAGAAGCAAATGCAGTTTTGCCTCACAGCAAAAGGAAAATGAGCCCGTACAGGGTTAATGAATATCACAGCACTGGTAAAATACGTGGTGAAAGCCCTACACACCCTTTCAACACATTAAAACATCTGTGGTTAAGGAATGATACTGAGTGAAATATAAACAGTAGATACTTTTTTTTTACTGATATGTCTCCATTCCCCACCAAACAAACGACCTAAAAAGATTCAGTAAGGGATTCAAAAGGACTCGTATTCGATAAAATGCTATTTGCTATAAATGCTGCTCTATGGCACAGAAAAATAAAGCTGGATTGGGTCTTTTCATATGATTTGTTGACAACAACAAGAATATAGAAGAACAGCAGACTCTGAGAGGGATAAAAGTCTGCGATTGAGAAGTTTTGATTGAATTTAAGCTTGAAGCAGTTTATTGTACAAACAGCTGGAAGTCTCTCTTTCTGTCTATATGTTACAACTTTTGGACACATGGTGGCGCCCCCCTCTTATGTACAGTCAGTGTTTTCGGCTGCTCACCTCCTCTAGTTGGCTGTGAACATGCTGGACTATCAGATCAATTGCTACCATATTCCCACCACCTTGGAAGGAAAGAGAAGTCCAGTTGAAGACATTGTTGGTATGTTTCCAATAACACATAAGTTAAAATGTTCAGTAGCGAAGGCTGTCTCACCTCTCGGCACAACAATATCAGCCAGCCTCATGGTCGGCTCGATGTACTGCTCAAAGGCCGGCTTCACAAACTTGTTGTATTGCTTTATGACGCCTTCAATGTCCCGCCCGCGCTCTGTGATGTCCCTGCGGAGCCGTCGAACAAGCCTAATGTCTGAGTCTGTGTCCACAAAGATTTTCATATCCAGGAGCTGCAGGTGGGAAGAGCAAACACCCCCAAATGGTTCAATAATATTCACTTCAACAAAGCAGCTGCTCAAACAACAATACCTGGTGATGATTGCTTTACTTCACTCATGAATTCTTCAAAAACAAAGAAAAATAAAAAAAATAAAAACATATTGCCTTTACCTGAAGAAGCTCTTTGTCTGCAAAAGACATAATTCCTTCGAATATGATTACACTGGCACCGTACACATTTTTCTGCATAAAGAGGAGGAAAAAACCAAGAGTCTTCAAAGCAGAAAGCTTCTTTACAAACAGTCAGCTTTTAGAAGATTAAAGCTGCAGAATATTTTATTAAAGTCTATAATATATTTTCAGCTTTGAAATTTTAAACCACAAAAAAATGAATGCTTCATTACTGCGTTCTACTTTCTTCTTTTCCAAAATTACAGGACGCATATTTAATCTTTAAACAGTTAAAAGTCTCAATCATCATTGAGGAGTTTTCTGTAGAAACTAAAGACAACTTGCCTGTGATAAAAACACAACTCACCCAGTCTTTCTGCCTCCCATGTGTGGTGAAGTCGTACACTGGGATCTTCACGCTCTTGCCCTGCTTCAGCCTTTGCAGGGTGGCGACCAGCAGCTCAAAGTCAAACGCCCCCGGATGATCAAAGTTGTAGTCGTTACTCGCAGCTAAAGCCTGCTCCTCGGGAGATAAAACCTGTAAAACACAGCAGGTACACACAAGATGTTGTTGAAGGTTTCATTTTAAAGAACCAGTTTGTGGAATTTAGCGACGTCTAGTGGTGAAGTTGTGGTTTGCAACTAACTGAACACCGCTTGTGTCTGTATTTGATGACCTGAGAATGAGAACGGGCTGTGAAGTGTGTGGGAGAAACCAAGGTGGCTGTGAAACTCGTAAATAACTTTAAGGACTCTTTCTAGAAAGATATATATGTAGAAACAAGATATATATGTAAAAAACGTCTCATTCTAAGGTAACAGAAACACATGAAAACATACATTTGAAAATTATAGTCTATTTCTGACAATTAAATTAGTTGCGGAGATTGATGAGAATATCAATTCTCACATCTTTATATTAAATATGAAGCTAAAAGCTGGAAGTTTAGCTTAGCTTAGCATACAGACTGCAAACAGGAGGAAGAACAGGATAAACATCTTTAACGTCAATAACAATAAAGTCCTCTGCTTTTCCTCATAAAGGAGGAGTTAAAGTTTGTTCTTAGTCTTCATTAATATGTGTTTGTGGACTCAATATTGTGTGTGTGTGTGTGTGTGTGTGTGTTTGTTCTGTATTTCTATAAAAAGGAGTGGAAGCTTGGGGGGGATTAGCTTTTCAAATCAGAGTGGCAACTCCTGATCCTCGTGATTACTGAGGGATTCTGGTTCTGGTTCAAACGAGTTCAGACAAAAACTTGTTTAGGAACAACATGATTAATAGATTATAGCCCACAAATTATTATAAGAAATAAATTACACTAAATTACACACACAATTACAAGTTTTTTAGCTGAGTGCCTGTTTGATAATTATAGGGATCAGTAATGTTTTTACTGAGCATCACAACTAGGGTTAGTGACGAAAACAGGTTACCAGTATTACAAGAAAAGAAATTAGTTACGGTATCATCTACTTTAAAATGAATTTGTTTTTAAATACAGAGTGATCCTATATGGAGTACACTTACCTTTAATATTGTGTACAATATTGTTGCTGTACAATAAAACAGGCTGGGAGGAAGGAAGTACTTCTATAGATTTAACATTGTTATGTGAATGTTTTTAAATGATAATTAAAACTGCAAAAACAACCTGTTTTTTTTTGTTATTTCTTCACTATGTTCATCCGCTAGTTGATAAATGTGCCTGTTCAGCTGCACAATGAGAGCACTGAGAGCAGAACCAGAACAGTAAAGGTGTGTTACAGGGAGCTAAACACCGAGCTGAAACTCACTTTACTGCTCTCCGTAAAGCCGAGGGGAGCTGCAGATTCAGGTAATAATTCTCTCCAGGTTCACGACTACGAGCAACCCCTTTAAAGATATAAATTATAGAAAAACTGAGGAACAGTAATGTAGTATTGGGGTCCAATGTTCGATCGATCATGTTAGAGAAGAACCTAGAACCAGTTGATCTTTGGTTGTTCTAATTATGGACGATGGCTGGATGTACTCCATGGTTTTTATGTTGGGTTCTGACTGTACATTGTTTTATGTGAGCTTGTGAGGGGAGTTGTAGCATTTGTCTCTAGTTTGTATTATGCTTTAAAATATTTATTACACTTTATGTACTTCACGTCATCAGATCATAAACAATTATGGAGCCAAATACTTCAACTCATAAACAAACTTTACTGCGGTTTATTGGACTTGATACAGTACAAAGAATAGTGCAGCAAGCTCTTTCCCCTTTCAGGTGTGTGTTCAGTGAAATAAATTATAATACATATTAAGGTTTATAATTAACTGTTTTTTTTCATTAAGGGAAAATGCTTCATGTAGTTTGTCTCATTTTCATCACATAGCTTTTGTAAAGTACAGGCTCTTCTCACTCTCTTGGTTCCTCTGAAGGACATTTCTACCGGCTGTTTATGTGCAAAGCTGAGTGAACCTTCAAATATGGTCGAGCCTCCTTCTCTTGTCTGTTTGGCCTTGTTACGTCTGTCATGTGTGATATGCACTGGTGTTGATGTTGGGAATGTGCATTCAAACTAAAGCGCAGAAAGTACAAATACTTGTGTAAATATGTAGGGGGTAAAAGGAAAAAGTTGTCGGACAAATGAATATTAATAAGTAGATACCTGAAGAAACTACTTGAGTATATAAATAAAGTATTTGTACTTCCACCTCTGCACTAGAAGTTATTCAAAGTGATTACAGTGTAATTTATTTCTAGGTCGCTCCTAAATGGAGATTTGTTACCCACAATATCTGTAGTTGGTTTTTTATTGGTTCCCTATGTGTACAAAATATCTACACTGTAATTTGGCTGTAATCTAAAGCATCAACAACGGTTCATTAATCAAACTGTGACAGCAGTATAACGGTTGCTTTGAGGTGACTGAATGTGAATTTCAGATAATATAAAATAACATAACATTTCATCCTAAAGATGATTATTTCTGCCTACAATGAAACCACAGATAATCAGTAGCAACCAAATAAAACAAGACAAAAATGCATGAGTCTCTCACCTTGTAGAAAGAATCCATAGACAACAGCACAACCCACGGCACATCCAGAGCTTCAATGATCTTATTGGCCACAGTGGTCTTCCCTGAGGCGCTGCCCCCACACAACCCTGCAGATCCACACAGCATTTCAATGGCCCATTATGTGTGTTTTTCAGAGTGTGTCTAATGTTGTCTGGCGGTATGCATGTGCAATGGCAGTAAAGTGTTTATGGGTATAATAAGACAGAACAGTAATAAAAGGACAGGTTCTGCAGCTCAAAGACACAATTTGGCACGAAAGGAAGTGAAAGAATTAAACAGTCGGAAGGAGTAAAGAGATCATCAGCAAGTGTCATACCGATGACAAAGGCCTCTTTTGACTGTGCTCCGTGCTCGTCATACCAGGGAGGTCGGCCGGCCGTGTAAATGGTGCGCGTGCCTGTGCGGAGCAAAGGAGGCTCGGTTTTACTCTGTGAGGTAGTGCTCTTCCTGCGAGGGGCCCCGGCGGGGGGCAGGAGCCGGTCCAACGAGTCCTCCCCGCTCCCACTGCAAAAACAGCACACAGCAGGGCAGGTTACAGCCTGAACACACACGAGTCTTAGACAGGCAGGTGTATCACGTCTGCAGTATCAAAGAACTGCCTTACTTCTATTTTGACAACGTAATTATAAGATGTAGGAATTTATTTATTTATTTAAAATCTAGGTGTGATACATTGTGTACTGTTGGTACTAAACCATTTACATTAAGTGTGTTGCCCTTAAGGTCCCGAGCATCCAGAGCTTTTAACCATTCTCAGCCGTTGGAGCTTCCTCAGCTATGATGAAGGCTGTGAGATGGTTAAAAGCTGCAGGAAAAGCTATTATGTGGACCTTCACTCAAGAATATTTTGTCAAATTATTATTTTTTTTCTCTCAACTGCATTGAAATTCCAAACAGACAGCAGATAAAAAGCAGCATGCTGAGCGTCGACTCAGACTTTTTAAAGATTTAAACAGAACAAATAAATAAAGCAGAGTACAAAATAGAGCTTAAAGAATAAGTAAAATCATTTTTTAAGAAAAAAATTAAACTTTGGGCTGCTTTTCTTCATTTTATGTGATAGAAAACGTAATATCTTTGGGTTCTGGAGTCGGTTGGACAAAATAAGCAATCAGATTGCATCACCTTTAGTATTTTATAGACCAAACAATTTATTAATAAAATGATATGCAGATAACGATAAGTTAATTTAAAGCAAGAAATTACTTTAAAAGAAAGACATAGTTTAACATATTAATATATTTCTGTCTGACAGAGTCTGACGATTGCATAACAAACAGTGTTGCAGTAAAAAAAACAAAACAATTAAGTTGAAATTTGAAATATGCAAAAAACCCGTGGAGCAAGAAGAGAACATCTTGGTGCAGTTAAGACAAACACATTGTTGTGTGTGTTGTGTAAGACTGTTTATGAGTTTCCCCATTGAGCAGCTGCTGTAAGGTCAGACTCACTGTGTACTGTATACTACACTTTATACTTTTATAGTACATTTCAGTGGGAAATTATCTTGTTTCAGCTTCTCAAATGTGACGATTTGCAGCTTTAGAACACATGTGAAGGTTTCACTTTAAGCTCTTAGTGACTCTGATGGGCAGATTTGTCACTATTTAAAAACCAAACGATAAGTGGATTGATCAACAAAAATACCCAACAATTAAAGGTCCAGTGTGTAACAATTAGGCTCTATTAGCAGAAACAGAACATAATGTTCACAGGTATGTTTTATATTAGTGTATAATCACCTTAATATAAGAACTGTTGTGTTTTTGTTCCCTCAGAATGAGACGCTCTATCTAGAGACGCCAAGAGTCTGCCAAGATAAACCACCATGTTTCTACAGTGACCTAGAACAAACAAACCTAACACTGGTTTTAGGGCCTTCTGCATTTTTGCGAGTTTCCCAACCACCGTAGTTTCTCCTACACACTTCACATCCTGGTATCAACCCTAGGTCATCAAATACAGACACGAGCAGTGTTCAGTTGGTTGCAATCAACAACATAACCACTAAATCCTTCACACTGGTCCTTTAATCCATAATGAAAATAATTATTACTTGCAGCCCAGTTAGAAAATAGCTTCACAACAACCAGCTACAGTAAAGTAAGTAAAATGCTGCCTAAACATTAATGATGCAGGCTAATAATAATCCAATGGTACAATACTTAGGGGCTATTTCTCGGCTTTAACTACTAACTAGCTCATGTGCAATTTCCTGATAATAACATTTTCCTGCAGCACTTGTGGTACTGGCACTTCCAGGATCTGAATGCTTCTTCCACCACCGCCTATTATGTGTTAATGCTACTGTTTGATACTTGAACCGACAAATCACAGCTTAGATCACTGTAATTAAGATTAGGGGCCCTCACGCCAACGTTTACTAGGGAAGAAATAAAAGTAATCTTAGCTTTGCGTCATACTATCAGGATACAGCAAGGACTCCTCCATTCCCACTGGCAGTAATTAGAAATCAAATTAGTAACTCTGTTTGTTTCTTATGTAATGTACAACTAGATATATGCACACAAACTGTAAATTAGAGGACTAATGAATGTTTTGCATATTCAACCGAAGCAATTTTAAATGCTTGTTTAGTAATGACACACTACAGGGCAATCCTCTGTGACTGAGCACGAATAAAAAAAAGACACCAAAAATCCCTGCAAACTAACCCAGATCCTGCACTTCCTCTGACCTCCCAACAACCCCTGTTAAGAGACTATTTAAAGCTCACATCCGTGGTGTGTTTGAGAGCTTTTGTGAGGAGGAAAACTGGTGCCCTGCCTGCACTCAGAAGAAACAAAACAACACATCTTACCTGCAGTCAGACCTCAGGGACCAACATCCGGAGATTCTGGCTCCTGTGCAGTCCAGCAGAGTCATATCTGCTTCAGACGACAACCTGCAACCCTCCAGCTCGCCTGTCACTGTGGCCCCAAAACAAAAGGCCCTCGACGGATTAACTCTGACCGAAGCAGGGTGTGTGTTTCAAGTCTTGCTTTTATGGAGCTTAAACAATCATCTGAAAATGTACTCTTCCTCTCATCTCTCCACGCCACTGGCCCATGTGTCCTCCTTTCTCTCAGTCCAACTCTTTCTGTGTGTGTGTGTGACAGACACTAAGAGGATCACCATAACACTGGCAGCAAAGAGCGGCTTGGCCGGTATTAATAGAGGCACCTGTAAACAAAAGCAGGACGGGACGGACGTCTTCTGCTGATCCCTCTACAGTTCTGATCAACACAAACCCGACAACAAACACTGCAAATAAGTCTTATTGTTACAGTTTCCCGTTTAGTTTAACGTGAAGTCTTGTCTCAAAGATACAAAGCAGAGGAAATCCTCTCATTGGAGAAGCTGGAACCACAGAATGATACGTATTGAGAATATTACTTAAAGAATGAATCGATAACTAACAACAGATGGCGATTCCCAGTTTTAAAAGGCTGCATTAGAGATATTGTCTTAGATTGATGAGAGAGAGAAATGCTAAAGCACTTTAATTCTTAAAGTCTCTTTTTAGCTGCTGTATAGTGTTAAAAGTTTAAAGTCAAATGTCTCTTTCATGTTTTAAGATGATGTTTAATATGTGTGCACAAGACAAATGTCCCCTCGGGGGCTGTAAAGTTTACTCTACTTCTTGTGGATAATATTTAATATGTGTACTTAAGTAAAGCTTTGATTGCAGGAATTTAATAATGAAGTATTGCTTTCTCAATATTGTCATTTTATTGTTATTCCTGTCTCATTTTTACATAAAACATGCATGTCAGTCCTGGAAGAGCTGCTGTGTTTTTGGGGGAGTTTAGTGTCTAAGGACAGAAGATGTACAGCCATGTAAGGGGAAACTGATGATTTTGATACATAAATACGTTAACTTCCATAACTAAAAGATAAAAATGTAACAACAATCATTAGTGTTATGAGTATGAAGGCTGTGCTAGAAATTTAATTTCACTCTCAAACAAGCATGGCACCAATCAGTGTTAATGTATATTTATCAAATATGTGTTATTGGATTATTATTACTAATACACTTGAGTTATGACATGCAGATACATACAGACTGGTGAATATTATATTTAACAGAACTTTAAAAGTTTTAATATATATTTTTTTTTACATTCCTTTAAATAGAAGTCCTTTAATATATTTCTGAATGTTAATCTATTATATATATTGAAAACCGACACAGTTGTCCAGAACAATAAGGTGCTAAATTAGATTAAATATAACTAAACTATAAATATAACTAATGGTTTATTATAGGATAAGTATATTTTAGGGATATTCTAGTGGTTTCTCATTAGTGAGCCTGTGACGCACAACTGTGTCACCATGCAGCTCACCGACTTCAGAAGAGCTTCCGCATTAAATCAACCTACAGCACATTATAATGCACATTTAATGCACATTATAATGCACATATACTAACAGAGAGGGCTTTTAAATGAACAATGTCAATATAAGAAGCGATATTTTTGCAGTTTGTGGGAGGGGGAGTCAGTGTGGTTATCGTTACATTACAGCATCGGGACGCTGCAGCGGACTAAATAAAGATTAAAGAGAAATCAAACACAGGTGATAAAAACACAGCATCAATGTACCTGTCCGAGCGGGACGACATTATTCTCCCGAACTCCGTTTCCATGGGGATCTTTCGACCTCGGAGCCGGCATCGGCTGGTTAAAGCCATGGATGGATTCCTTCTTAACCGTGCGGTGGGATTATGGGTAATGTAGTTTATCATCACGTGGTTCCTCACAGCTGCTCTGTCAAGGGTAATGCACAATAATCCTGACCTTTAAAGCATTTGAAAGACCAACAACAACAAGAACAAAAAAAGGCAGTGATGTTTTTTGATATTTTTTTTTTTATTTGCTTTCTGACATTAAAAAAAAGGTTTCAGAGAGAGAGGAAGAGGTAGAGACAGTAATGAGAGAGAAATAGTTAATAATTCATCACAGAATAGAGCAATACATTGACAGATTGTCACGGAGCTTCTTCATCACAGTTCATAGTCAGTTCGTGAAGATTATGTCTGTTCATCGTGCAGATGGGGAATGAAAAGCACCCGACTTCCACTTAACATAATTCTGAATATCGCTGCTCGCTGGGACGCATTTATCCCACAGATCTCATTCACATTTGAGCAAATATCCCAGTGATTGAACAGCATTCACTTCTTCCAGCGACGACATGGCTACGATATCTTACCAAAGGAACCTGTGAAAGACAACAGATGAATATAATATTTTAGATTAGAACATTAAAAGAAAATTAAAAAGAGCTTTAGTTTAGCATTAAGACTTTAAAGCTTAGCATAGCCCGGGTGTGCAAAGGTCACAAATTCCACCTGCCAGCACCAAAAAAGCTCACTGATTAACATGTTATATC